GCTCACGTCCTTCTTGGGGAACGGACAGACGCACAGACGGACAGACGCACAGACGGACAGACAGACAGACACAAGGGCGATGGCATTAGCCCGCTTCTATAGCTTTTAAGCAAAAGAGCGGGCTAAAAAACCACGGCGCGGATCACCCACCCTGTATATCATCCCGTTCAATTCCACCTGAACTCCACGGTTTTTCGGAAATACTGTAATCCGCAACAAGATCGCGGATGAAGTTGCCGGCAGGATGATTTCGTTGAAGGTTGATGGGAGCTCCAAACACAACCAGCATTTAGTGGGTAAAGTATAAATATTCAGTTTACAATGAATGGACGGTCAGTTTGCCGCACTCTTGCAGTAGAAGAACTGTTAGTTGCGGCAACTGCTAACAATCTGAAAGTGCTTATAAGCATGGTGCTGAAAAGGTTCCGTATCCAGGCCCGTCAGATTGTTAGCTTCACTTCTGAAAACGGTTCAAATTACATCCTGGCTGGAAAACTGCTGTCAGACGAGTGTGACGACGGCGAAATTGCGCAACCTGCCGAAGAGCCCGAAGAGGCTGCTATTGAAGAGGCGGAAGATAATCCCACATGGATCGACGCCGGGCTGAAACTCAACCAGGATGAATTCAAAATAACAAGTGTGCGCCGTGCGGAGCACACTACAACTTGCTGTGGACGAACCTATGAAAAAGGAACAAGGGACAGCACCAACCATAAAGGCAGTGAGAAGTCTCTGCAAATTCCTGCTGAGTTCGAAACAAGCTCAACAGCTCCGCAACAGTATGTTACCCCTTACTGTCTGCACTCGCTGAGGCAGCACCTATGATATGATAAAAAGTGTTCAACATTTAAAAGAATTTGTCAATAGGGCGTTGGTATGGAATAGGGCAGAGCAGCTTAAATTCCAGTTGACCGAAGAGCAATGGAACACCCTTGATACCATCATAAAGGATTTGCGTACCGTCCGGAAGGCGACATCTCAACTGCAAAAGGAGGACCTAACACTTGGAGAGTTTTCGGTATTCGGAAAGTGCTGCAAATGGCGCTGGAGGCCAGGAAGATGACTCTGACAACGTCGCTTCTTCTGGCTATGGCCAAACAAGTCCGTGAACTCCCGAAACAGGACAGGAGACGTGGACAAAAGCAGTCTCCCTGTTTCACTCACTACCCGGCTTTCAATGCGGCCGTGTTCCTATACCCCCGCTTCTTCTCACTCTTGGAGCCTGACCAGACCGAAGAAGCTAAGATCTATCTTCTAGGTCTCTGGGATCAACTTCAGGCAGTGGCAGGCAACTTTCAGCAGTCGAAGAACTCGAAGCAGACGTCAGCGGTGAGGAGGAGAATGTGGACGACGTCGATCTCCCTCAAGCTTCGGACGACGAAGATCTGTACGTAGAGAATCTACTGGCTGTCAGGAACAGGGCCCGTGTACTGGCAACGGGAGCGGGGCAGACGCCGAGCACATCTGCCAATGGAGAAGAGCTTTGCTGCGCCAGATGCTCGACTTGTACGACTCCAAAACCCAGCCCCTGCCCAAAAAGTCCAGTTTTAAGACTGTTTGAAAAACAATACAAGCTGAAAACTGCGCTTGTTATTTTCTTTTATACATTTTCAAAGCAGAAAGGAAGGGTGTAGTCACGGTGTCGCACGTTACAGTCTTTTCTCGCGTGCAAGGAGCTAATCTTAAGAGCCGCAGGTCCCCCGAAACCCCAAGATTGTTCGAAATATATTTAGTGACTCGTAGACCAAACAACGCTAGCGGGCCAAGCAGGCCCGACCCCTGCCGAACGGAGTTGCCTGCGGAGTGAAGTGAAGCTGGCAACCTCGTTTGGCGAACACGCGGGCCTGCTTGTTGATTCGTTATCCATTACCAGCTGTTCCATGACTTTTGGGGAAATTGTGGTATAGTTCGTATTCTAGGCTGGGAAACACAAAAGTTGCAATTAAGGGGAGGCTACAGTGAAAATAGTGCCTCTATAGTGGGCAGGTGGGATAAACTCATTACTTTCTCTGTAGCCTTCTTCATAATGGTCGGGTTTGTTTTCGTACTCCAACAAAATTGTTTGCAGACGGAGAGTACACTATTAAAGTCCTGGGAAAAACTTGGGTTGATATACTTCTTTTAAGATCTGTTCAGTAATACGAATCATTTTCAGCTTTGATCGGGCTCCTATGATCCAGGTCAGTCTGTACGATAACGTAGGAGTACGTGCAGCAGCCCGTAGTGGCTGAGCTTTAGTCGTTAGTGTGCTAAAATTCTCAAATGTGACGGTTAAAGGAATATAGTAATAGTAATGTACAGATGGGAGGTCAGGGAAGAACAGGAAAGAGGAGGAGGGGGGGGCACTGGAAAATTTAAAAATGACCAAAACAAGTTTGGTTTTAGATTTTTCGCTGTCATTTTTAGTTCTCAGTAATTAGAAGTGGGACTGTGATGACTTTTGACTTCTACAAATGAATGCTGTTAGCAGATTCAACTTACAATGTAACAAACAGTAGGACAAACAAATATCGTATAACTCTGGGTATGGCAAACCCTTGTCACAATCAGCTAAAAATATTCTATTCTATACCCTCACTTGCCTCTGCGTGAAGTGAAATTATATAAAATAATATTAATTTGAATTTCTTTAAATGTATTGAAACACCTCCCATACTCAAAATATAATTTTTCATTCTTCGATTCACTTTTACCTGATCCCTCTGAGGCGTTTTGAAGATAACGAGTCATTGTAGTTTATTAATTGAAAGTTCTGCAATATATCTTGTCATAGAATGTAATTTAAATTCTCTCATCACTTTATTTCAGTATCATTAGAAATAATTTGGCTCTAGTAAAATCTAGTCAACATAACGGAATCATATATCTCGTTCTACTTTTGAACGGCTTATCCTACTCTAAGTTGCGACTGTGGCTCTAATATTGTTCGGTCCCTTGCAAGTACATTGCTGTTAAGAAAATAAGTTGTAAGTTTAAGAAACCTTCAAGATGTCTTTTTGTACGATGAAATGACTTCTAGTCATTCTACAAGTGAAAACCCTCATTTAGTCTTCCAATGAAGTATCTGGATTTTTAAAAAGTCATCAAATTAAAAATGTTATCCCAGATTAAGATTCCTCTTGTAAAATTTAAAAGGAAATGTCTTATGCTCAGAGCCGATCTGAGTCGAAATGGAGAAGTTATTAGCCCTCAAATAACGATGGGCGGATTGCCATGGCCAAATTGGTTCAAATTG